ATTTTGATCCCAAGAKCATCTTTTGCCTTCACATGATGAATGTGAAGTTGAGGCCTGAGTATGTATTTGGGAGCAGGTGGGTGTTTTGGCTGATAAATCTCTGGAGGTTTGCTCAAGGTAGGGTGATTGCCTGGCTGCCCCTGCACAAAAGTGGTCTCAGCTCACCTCTCCGCTTTCCTCCATCTCCAGCCTCTTCCAGTGACCTCGTCTGTCCTGCTTTTGTCATGGCTGGACTGAAATATTTCAGGCTTTTCTCAAGAATGCCAACAAATGACTCATCGCTCGAGCGCTGCCCTGTGTCAGGTTCATCTCCAGTGTCAAGGCTCAGCCTTCGGAAACTTGGGAGTCCTGGCCTAAGTTTGTAGCTGTCTCTCTGGGTGCTCTGGTTGCAGTGCATGCTGGAAGATGTAGTCTTGACAGGGTGCACCTCCATATTAAAAAAAGAAGGGTGGCTCCATTTTATTCAAATTGGGTTCAGCCTTCTCCCTCCTGGCAGCTTGCCGGCGCCGTCCTGCTCAGCCCTGAGAGCCACCGAAGTTCTCCCGGCGCCTTGTGCGAACGTGGAGGCGGGAGTGCGGCTCCTCCATTCAAAATCTTGCTTAATTCCACATTGAACAGCTTGTTTTGAAGCCCTGTGCCTCGGCGTGTTTTGCAACAGCTCGGACTCCCGCGGGGCGCAGGCGGTGGAGGGTTCCTGCCCCCACTGGGTGGCAGTTCTGGAGGGTGTCATGGCAAATCTCCTTTGTCTGCCTCGGCCTGACTGATGTCTGGGGGACAGCGAACCCTCCTCCCCTGCGTAATTTCTTGAGCTGAAAGCAGCAAGTGAGTGAGGAAGCTCCTTTGTGCAGATTTCTCCGTCTCCTCTTGTTCGTGCCAGCTGGCTCACGTTCAACATTTCTCCTTTTTTCTCTCTTTTTTTTTCTCTTCTCTCTCCCCCAGCTCTAGAGAGAGGGGGCGGGGAGAAAGGAACATCTTAAAAAGAAATCTGCAGAAAAGACATGGGAGTTACTTAACAAAAATCCAACCCAAACAAGCCCAGCTGGGGAATTACAGGCACGGCGGTAGGAGCTGAGTGGGGAGCGAGTGCGGCAACGCAGGGAAGGCAGTGTGTTCCCCCCCACCGCCCCGAGTTTCTTTAGTCGTAAAAGGAAACAAAAAGGGATCTTGTGCAGAGGCAGCGGATGGTGAGAGCGGCCGGCTGGCTGCCAGCGGTGGGAGGAAGGGCCTCAGCACTGTGGCCCCTCGTGCTGCTGCCTCAGCTGGGGAGTCATGGGGAGCCCTTTGGGGGTTTGGCAAGCTGGAGGCACAGCATCTCTTCCATGCCACTGCCTTTGGCTCTTTCGGGAGGAAGAAGAGGACTCTGCTTTCCAGGGTCGCTCCCAGCCGGAGCAACCATCTCACCAAACCCTCTGCCCCCTGCTTTGTGCCTGCTGGAGGARATGCTGCGTCCTGCAGATTTTCTCCCCCCCCCCCCTTCCCTGTCCACTTTGCCGCTCCTTCTTGTGGGCATTCCTGAAAGTTAATCAGGGTGAAAATTGCACTTGGTCATGTCTGGAAGCCACCAGAGGCTGATCCTGGAGTGCTGCAGGCTGGAGCACATGGCTATGAGACAGTCTCCCTATGTGTGGGCTGGCTGCTGCCAGGAGAAGAGCTTTCTCCTACATCTTGCTGCCCTTGGGCAGTCAATCCTTCCCAGCTTTGGTCTCCTGGCCTCCGGTAACCGGCAGAGAAAGCCGGAGTGGTGCGGGTTTGGTGGGTTCTGAGCATCCTGCACCGGTTTTAGCACAAAGAGCTGTGGGCTGGTGTGGTTTCCTTGCTGCCTTTTGGAAGTGGGGCTGTTCTGGTGGAAGAGCTGTCTCTAGGTGTGTGTGCAGCCCTGAAAGTGAACTTTCAGGTTTGTCTCTGAATACGGTTTGGCTCTGTCCCAGCCAATAGATGTGGATTATAGAGGTCTCAGCACCTAATGGAGCTGAATTATTCATGTCTGGTGCTGTGTGTGTGCAGCATTCCCAAGCAGAAAGCTGTCTCCTTGTAGGATCTGCGCTCCAGGACTGCTCTTAAAATGCTTTGTTGGCAGGTCTCCAGGCCAACAAGTGAGCACATGCTTTTCATGTTGCGCGGGGATCAATCCTGCAATGGCAGGAGGTAAGGGGAAGGACACGTTTACAGCTGAATCAATCTCCTTGCTGTTTCCTGAGATGCTGTGATTTGTGGCAGCGTTACTCCCCCGGYGGGAGAGTGGGGAGGATCTGGCTACCACCCGGTTCTTCTTCAGCTTGGGCAAAGCAGGCAGTGGGAAAAGCTTCTTTCTCTGGGCCATAAGGTGCAGTAGCCAGGGGTTCCTGTGCACCCAAAATAATGACAGTGTGGCAGTCTGGAATCCTTTGGGGGTCTGGCTTGGGAGAGGGACCCAAAATGTACCTCTCTCTGCAGAGACTGAGCCTGCAGTAGTGGAGTAGAGAAATGGGAAACTGGGATGGGAGTTTTGGGGAGGGAAAAAAAAGTGGAAAATTCTTCAGAGTCACATGCAATGGGGGATGTTTAGGAGATCCCCCTAGATCTCATTCAAGGGTCCCAGCCTTCAACTCTGGCCTGGAAAGGGCTGATCCCTGCCCTAATCCCTCTTCCTGTGGTGGCATGTCTCGAGTTCCCTGCCCCACTCTCAGCACTACGTGCCTTTCCCCTGCTCTTGCCAATCCAGCATGTTCCTGTCCATCCTGTTTGTGGTTCCCTTCCGTCTGCACTAGCAGAGCTTGGGCTCCCTTGGAACCTCCTCTATAGGGTGAGGGTTTTTCCTCCTCTTGTTTTCTAACCCTTTGATTGTTCCTGGCTCTCTAATTGCCAGGGACACAGCGGACTTCTGGGCTCCTTCTTCCTTTTGTTGTGGTAGGAATTGGGAAAAGCTGCTGCTGCTTGGAGAGTTTCAGACCCAAGTCCCGCTCATCTGCTCTCCTTATTCCACATGTATAAATAATATATATGGAGATATGTGTGTGTGTGTGTGTGTGTGTGCATGTTCGGAACAGCAAGGTGAATTCCCTGGTGGGAGTGGAGAGCTGGCCGAGCTGGTGTCATGCAGGTGTTGCATGGACCAGGTGATGCTATGCAGGTTGCAGTACAGCCCTACAAATTGTCGTTTTCCTGCCACTGCAAGGTCAGATCCTTGTCTGTTTTCCCTCTGACCTGAGCTCACCATGGCCCTTTGTGTGCTCCAAATTTGAGTTGGAAGCTCTTGGGTTTGSAGACTCAACTTGATGCTCTGCTGGTAGTTCCAGTGGGTTGGTCCCGCGCATCAGTGGTCATCAGCGGTGCACCACTGGGATTGTTCCTGGATTCCATGCCTCAGCTTAGGGCTGGGAAGGGTCTGTTACTAACCAAAAATCTGGTTCATCCAGCTAGTTACTGGCTTTGCCCACCCACACAAAAGAATTGCTGTGCATCCGTGACACAGAGAATGTCGTGCAGGAGTGAGGTGGTCACTGCCAGTCTCCAGCCCTATCAGTGTTTTGGAGAGAGGCTCTGGAGAGGCAGATTGAGGGGTTGGCTTGGACACCCAGCTTGGAACTGAGGAGCAGGTGCTGGGGTAGGAGAAGGAAGAGGAGGAGGACGTGGCCATAGAAACAGGCAGGGCATCTTTGGGAAGCCGTTAGCGACTCCAGTGCACAAAGTATCTCCTGATTCGGCACTTTCCCTGCCGCTGAAATGAGAGGTCAGTGCTTTTCATTTCCAGCTTGCACGCAAGCCCCCAGCTCCTGGGGTTAAAAATCTCCGTAATGACCTGTCAGAGAGTGGATTATTAGCTGTACAGAGCTGAGGATGCTGTGGGGAGCAGATGGAAAATGGTCTGGCTGCGGCAGCCTGGCTGATGAAAGAATCCCTGGCATTTTTACAGTGTTTGCATCTCTGGAAATGCACCGTGAAGCTGCTTTCCAGGCTCCTGCCTGCTGGGGTTTGAAGAAATTTGTGTGCGTGTGGTGTGGATTCTTTTTTTTCCCCTTCTTATTTCTCTTTAAGTCACCTGTTTTTGAAGTGTCGCTTGTAAATAGTACCAGGACAGGCAGGCCTGGAGCTTGGCGCGGAGGGGGAGGACAGTGCTGCCAGAGAGGAACCTCATCTAAATGGGTGGTCAAGGATTTCTTAAGGGTTTTGGAGAGCCGGCAGCCTGGCTGGGTGGTGCTGGGAAGAAGCTGTTACATGTGTTAATTATGTCTCATCAGAGTGCTGTGTCAGGGTGCGCGTGGGTGTCTTTTTTGTTTCTCTCCCTGGGCGAGGGGCTGGGAAGCAGGGAGGAGATATTTTGGGCTCACCGGGGCCAGCTGTGATGTGGGCAGGTAGGACTGAGCCCCCTCTTCCCAGTTAAGATGGGGTACCTGTACAATTGCATCTCCATTTCCCATTGGAGGCTTTATCATGGCCAGAGGTGATGGTGGTAAACACCCCAAATCTKGCTGCTGTGTTGCACTGCTCGAGATGCGGGATGGGAATCCTTTTGCTTCCAGCTGCAATTTGGCTTTGGCCTTGGCTGCTCTGACGTGTCCCAGTGTCACAGCCACTGTGAAGCCTGGGATTTATTTCCCACCAAGGCACTCAACTTCCCTGGCGAGCAGCTCTTGTCCCTTGCAGTGAGTCTGGTGTGGAGAGGAGCCCTCCCTCCGGGTGGCATTGGCAGGAGAGGAATCAATCCTCCCTCCCAGGGGCAGTGCTCGATAATTCAGAGGGAAATGGCGAGCGGGGAAATGTGTGAGTAATGTCTTGTTGGAGCCGAGAGCCATGACCTGCCAGGGCTGGTATTGATCGCGGACCGGTGCCAGATGGCTGCTGCTGCGGGGGTAGCTGCGGAGCAGCCCCAGCCCAGGGGGTGGCAGAAGGATGCTTCGAGGGGGATTTGGGAGGTTGGGGGTTTTACCCTGCCCAGATCTCTGCTGCAGRGGTGGCTGTCAATTACCTGCCTGCCCATGGCTCTTTGTGTGTAACGCTGTTCTCTTTGCTCTCTCTTTCAGCAGCGATGCCGTCACCTGGGCAGACCCCGACCACTGGAAGCCCCCCAAGGACGTAGGTGACCCCCAGGGCGTAGAGGCAGGGAAGAGCCTTGAACCGTGAGGGGCCGTTAACTCTAAGATGTCCTTGAGCAGCGGAGCTTCCGGAGGGAAAGGAATTGATGCGAACCCGGTTGAGACGTATGACAGTGGGGATGAGTGGGACATTGGTGTAGGGAATCTCATCATTGACCTGGACGCTGATTTGGAGAAGGATCAGCAGAAATTGGAAATGTCGGGCTCCAAGGAGGTGGGGCTCCCGGCACCCAATGCAGTGGCAACGCTACCGGATAACATCAAGTTTGTGAGCCCAGTGCCGGGCCCGCAGGGCAAGGAGGGCAAATCCAAGTCGAAAAGGAACAAGACTGGCAAGGACAGTGGGAAGCCAACCCCAGGGTCCTCCCTGTTCACTCCCAGTGAGGGAGCTGGTGGCAAGAAGGAGGCTCAAGGACGTTCTGGGGATGGCGTGAACTCGGGTGGTTTGGTGCCCACCGTTACCCCAAAGGGCTCAGAGAAGTCGGCCAAGGCATCTCGCAGTGTGGCTGGCTCCAAGAAGGAGAAGGAGAGTGGCTCATCCAAGAGCAAGAAGGAAAGGAGTGAGGGTGCGGGAGCTGCGGCGGAAAAGGAGCCTGGCGTGTTGCAGCCCCTGGCCCTGGCAGTGAGGGTGGGACAGTATGATGGGGGCCAGGGGACAGAGCCTGCTGCKRCTGAGCAGCTTGGGAGTATAGCTATTGACACAGGAGCTGCGCTCAATCCCTTGGGAGTAAAGTCGGAGCTGGAGGATGGAGAAAGTGAGTGCCGGCAGCTGAAAAAGGTGAAGTCGGAGAAGGTAAGAAAGGTGTTGGGGCGTGCGTGCTTTTGCTGCCGCTGCTCTCATGGCGTTGCTAGGACATGGCATTGTGGGTGACAACAGAGCGAGACTGTGCGTGTCTTGTACTGCTGGGGCCAGCAATGATGTGTGACCAGTGCCTCCTGGTTCAGGTGTGGAGGTGGATGTGCTTGTGTCTGAACACGGCAGTGGAATGATACTGGTCAAGCCTGGCTGTTGGGAACCATGYGTGAGCACATCAGCTGCAGACACTGTGCTCCAGGTGCCATCCTGCTGTACCCTCTGAGATTTGATTTCCCCTGTGCCGTGGCTGTGCTTAGCAGCTCCAGGCCTCTGTGGCCTCTGTCACTCTGAAGTCAAGGTGATGTCCTCGTGCTTTGCCTGCTCCATCTCCTGAGGGAATGCAAAGAGGTTGTGCTGTGCTCTGCATCCTGCTGGCTTCACCTTGCGTGTCAAGGCTTCCTGCAGCTCCTGAAGGAGTTTATTTCTCTCTGCTTGCATCATGTGCAGAGAAGGATCCCTTAACATGTTAGTGGATGTGGGATCTGCATGGGCATGTGGGTGAGCACAAGGAGCAGGGCTAACAGGAGTCACTGCCTCGTTCCTGGGTCTGCCGATGGTACATGGGCACTGTCCCACTTGTGGTGATGATCCAGCCTGGCTGCGGGTGATACTTGATATGTCACTATTAACATGTGGAAGTGATGCTAAGCTGGCAAAGCTGCTCCCCCAGGTCATCAGGGGCACAAAAAACCCTACCAGTGGCACACAGCAAAGAGGGTGAGCGGTTGCMTGTCCATCCGAGTGGTGCTGGCCTCTGGGTGGCTGTGCAGCCATGTCTGGTCGTGGCCATTTTGGGACTCCTTTCTGGTTTTTGGACAATCACAGTGGCTGATGCGATTTCTGGTGCAGATGAGGAGGACTTTGAGCACATGGAGGGCTATGCTTTACTCTGCCAGCAGCACATGGGGTGTCACTGATATGTGCCTGTGAGGCCACATGTTTGTCACATGCAAGGTCAGTATCACAAGCATGTGCRTTTGGGTCGGCTTGGCCCTGTTGCCATCAGCAATGTGTTGGGGTGTCAGGAGAGTGGCTGGGAAATAGGAGAAGTAACACCTGCTTTGATGTGGGGATCCCAGTGGGCACTGGGATGAGTGGGGAGGGCACAGTGGCAGTGGGAGAGATGCTGAGACCAGAGATTTGTTGGGGAGCCTATATGGAGAAAAGGGTGGTGGAGATGGTGAGCCATAGGATGGCTCTGGGACAAGGGCTGCTAAATAGGTTGGTGTTTCCTCCACTTGAGAGGAAGACTCCTGAGGCAGRTGATTGAAGGCTGTAAAATTCAAGAGCGATGTGGAAGCGATGTTGTTCCTTTGTTCAGGTGCTCTTTTGCATGATGGACTGGAATGCTGATGATAAAGGCTGTGGATGCTGGAAATCCATCTATGATTTGGGGCACCTGAGTGGGTTTGTGGAGGAGAAACTCATCAGGGGGTTGTACAGGGCAATGTGTTTTGGCTTGGGAAATGCATGAGGAGGACAGAAGCTTGGGAATTGGTTTGGGAAATACCTCAACATGCTTGGCTGTTATGTTCCCTCGTAGCCATCTGTGCTGGCCACTGTGACAGCCAGCACTGGAGTCAGCTGGACCTTGGGTTGTACCCTGCAGGGCTTTGCTGTGTTGCTACTTTAAAGATTTATTTCTTTTGCTGATAAGCTACAGAAACCTTCTGCAGTTGGAGATGCCAGTGTGAGGTGTGGTGTTAATGGGTGAGAAGCTCCACAGCCCCTGCTCATGTGTGCTGGCAGCTGGAAACCACCCCCCCCAGTGTCCTGGGCTCATCCGTCAGTGTGGGCAGCAGGGGATCAGGGGATTCTGCCCCTCTACCCTGCTCAGATGAGACCCTACCTGCAGAGCTGCCTCCAGCTATGATGTCCCAACAGCAGAAGGACCTGGAGCTGCTGGAGAGAGCCCAGAGGAGGCCACGGAGCTGCTSYAGGGCTGGAGCCCCTCTGCTCTGGAGCCAGGCAGGGAGAGCTGGGGGTGCTCACCTGGAGAGGAGAAGGATCCAGGGAGAGCTCAGAGCCCCTTGCAGGGCTCAAAGGGGCTCCAGGAGAGCTGGAGAGGGACTGGGGACAAGGGCTGGAGGGACAAACAGGGACTTTGGACAAGGAATGCCAGGGCAAGGGGGAATGGCTTCCTACTTGCAGGAGACAAAGTTAGATGGGATACTGGGAAGAAACTTTCCTGTGGGGGTGATGGGGCCCTGGCACAGGTTTCCCAGGGAAACTGTGGCTGCCCCATCCCTGGAAGTGTTCCAGGCCAGGTTGGATGGGGCTTGAAGCAACTTGGGATGGTGGAAGATGTCCCTGCCCATGGCAGGGGATTGGAATGAGATGGCCATTAAGGTCTTTTCCAACTCAAATATGCAGACACCCGGTGATGATGGTTCTGCCATTTTACTTGTCCAGATTCAAGCACAACCCCCTCAGTGAAGGCTCAGCCTGAAGGGCTGATCCCTATTTTAAGAAGGGATTTGATGTCTGGATCTGCAGGAACATGTGTCACGTTTGCACTTAGGAGGAWGCATTGTCTGTGTTTCATCAGCCTCCTGGGGGCAGCTGGATGGCTTCCCTTGAGCCGGGAAAGCCGTGGGTGAGGAGAAGAAAGGTGTCTGCATGGTAAGGGGTGGGAAAGCAGTTTTGTGTCTTGAGGAAGAGCCTGAGGCTCTTCACCAATGGGTGGAGGACCAATGGCATGCAGTGGGGGATGTGGCGTTGTGCTCATCCTGTCATCCAGAAACTGCAGCAATGCCCCAAAAACTGCATGTGGAGTCCGAAGGACAAGCCAAGAGCAGAAGTACCTGCTGGCTGTGGGAGAGAGGGCAGCTCCTCCAGGCAGTCCATCAAGAGGATAAAGGCGGCAGGTTCGTTCTGGCCTGGGGACAAACCCTGCCTGGGAAGCGAGAAACTTGCTCAGACCGAAACAGGAACAGCCACAATGTGACTCAGCCCAACCTTCGGTCTCCGTCAGCTTGTCCTCTGCTTAACCCTGTGCTGCTCCCGCTTCCGTTTCGAGCAGGGAAGCTGGTGTCCATCTGTGGACAAAGAAAGGAAGACTGTCTGCCCCTCCACTGCCTTCAGCCTGKGGTAGGTGACCTCTCTGTAGTAGGTGCGTGCTGAGCTGGCAGCTGCCACCAGGAGGTTTTGTTGTATCTCCAACAAAACACRGGGACTACTTTTCCTTGATGAGGTGCTTCAGTGCCACAGCCAGCTTGTGCCCCAGCCAGCTCACCCCACTTGCCTCTACTTCTGCTTTTGTGTTCTTCCCGTACCTTGCTGCAGGGTTTGGCAGCGTTGTCCTCGTTGGGCACGGGAAGGAGCTTTGCTTTGGGTTTTGCCAGACACTTCTCCACATCAGCTGGTGCTCTGTGACTCTGTGTCCATGGSCAAGTTCACACTTGCTCCCATGTCCAACATAGCAGCCAGCGATGGAGCCTGTGGACACGGYCCATGGACTCCATGGGATGTGGCTCTGGTCACTGCTTCCTGGGGTGAAGCCTCAGKATTTCAATGCCCCAAATATCCTTTTTCTTGATGTGGATCTTGGCTGTGTTAGGGCACAGGTGATAACTTCTCCAAGGATGGGGCTGATCTTGATGAAACCCACTGGCAATAACCTTGCTGAGAGCTTCCAGGGTCTCTGGGATGGGCTGAGCACCTCCAKCAGGTTTGCCTTGGGCTGTGGCCAGTGCCTGAGCAGCTCTTTGTAGCCCTATGAAATATTTGGAGGGGCAGCAGTGGGAGCTTAAAATACTTGCAGCAGGGAGAGAAAAGAGCTTGTGCTTCTGGACCCATGAGCCTGACATGAGTGGTTGGGTTACTGGGGATGGCTGAGTTGGGGTTGGGTTTGGTTTGGTTTGGTTGGGTTTGGTTGGGTTTGGTTTGGTTTGGGGGGACACTGGTGCTGGGAGGGAATGGGAGCTCTCGGCAAGCAGCCGAGCTCAGCAAAATGGCCGTGCACAGAGGAGCAGCGCCGGCTTTGCCCCGCCAGCTGCCATCGCATTGCTGAGCTGGCCCTGGCGCTGGTGGCCGAGCTGGCCCCTTCCTCGCCTGCCCTGCACCCACCACACTGCCCACACCAGGCCCCTGCATCCGCTCCCGGCACTCTGGGGCGCRCTGGCCCAGCCAGGGGGTGTTGAGCATTAAACAAAAGAGCCTCCCAGCTCTTGGCTGCCGCTCCGGCTTTGTTTTGATTGAGAGGTTGTTCAGCAGGAGGAGGGAGGGGTTTTTTTTTTTCCTTCTCTTCTGACAAGCGTCCAGATGCGACGCTGCTGCAAACAAGGGAAAGGCAAACAGAAGCCGCTGGAGACTCAGCTCTTCTGAAAAGCCTCTCTGGGTCACGTGCACTGCGGTTTTGGGCAGCCAGGAGGGTGGATTCAGCCGTGTCCCTCTGCAGGAGAGGGGGTGGAAGCCACTGGTGCATTTTTTCCCCCCGAATTTCTCCCTAGTCACAGTGTGGTGATGCCCTGTGTATGCTCACAACAGATATCCCTGCTGTGGGTGACCTGATAGAGAGGAGCTGTTGTAAAATAGGAGACACTGCAGTGTGTTCACAGCAAACTGGTGTGAAAATGCACATGTGGTTCCATGGGAGGACAGCGTAGCAGCACAGGGAGTGCTCGGGGTCGGGTGGCAATGGAGGCAGTGGGGTGGTGACACCACACCAGTGGCAATTGCCAGAAAAGAAATACTCCCCAAAAATACATCCCTGCACTGTCCCTGCTGCTTCTGGCTTGTCTGGCAGTTTGCAGAGTGGCTTTGGTGTCACCTTTGCGGACCTTCTTGCCTGAACCCATGGATTCAGACCTGCATGATGCCTCTAGTGCTGGTTCTACAGCTTCAGGGGGATGTGGGATGGRCCCTCAGGTGCCAGGTGTCCTGCACCATTAATCCTTTACCTGGAGTGAAAACATGATTGCCTTTTTTTAGCCATT